TTAAAGCTCAGACACCAAGAACTGAATAACCGATTATATGGAAAACGGGAATAAATGGGTTATTATTATAAACACGAGATTAAAAATGCCATAAATGTTGTGTTAAAACAAACAATTTTGTTAATTTTTATCGTGTATGAAATATAACACTTATTATCAGTTTTGTTTGTTAAATGCATTTTAGAGTAAAAAATAATTTTTATAATTATTGTTAATTTTAGTTAAATTAGATTTTTTCCGAAATGATGTATGTGAAAATAATTATTATATTGATATATTTATTTAATACAATAATGTTTACTTGTGCGGCACCAGGTTAGTAAATAAACTTGTATAAATAAAACCATTATGTAATTAATTTAATTTTCTAAATGCTCTAAATTGATTTTAATTGTAATTATTTGTAATGAAAGAGTGCGCAAACCATATGAACCAAAATGAGAGCGAGATATTGAGTCCAAACTATCCACACAAATATCCGAATAACTATCGGTGCGTTTGGTATATAACAGTCGCCGACAATAAATACATTGCACTTAAAGTGAATACTTTTCATACGGAACTCAAACACGATTTGGTCTCTGTATATGACGGCCACACCGAAGAGGACAGTCAACTGTTGGCCACTTATAGCGGTTTTGCCGAAGACTATGACTACACGGGTGTACCCCGTAATGGCATGACTAAATTCCGATCGGTTATATCCAGCGGCAATAAGTTACTTGTTAAGTTTCGCACCGATTATGTTACTGAGTATACAGGGTTTAATATCACATACGAGTCCATTGACCAAGGTCAGTTTGCGCTTTTATTTGAATAATACATGGTATTATTGTTTTTTTTAATTCAGTATTTGAAATTGTACATTAATTTTACAAAGTTTATTTATTCTCAATATTTTAATTTTATAGTAATTAAAAGTTAACGTGAATTAATGTTTGCACTAATTGATAGGCTGTGGACTTACGCTAAATGCAACCAGGAAGGAAATAGTGAGCCCCGGGTATCCAAGTGAGTACATTTTCGCACTGGTATGCGTGTGGAACATATCTGTGCCCTCAGACATGATGGTTATGATCACATTCGCTGACTTTCAAACCGAATACAACTTTGATTATCTCCGTATTCACGACGGCTTCGATAGGAACAGCAGTTTTGTCACTTATACTGGAGATAACATTCCTCCACAGATTATATTTGNTGCGTGTGGAACATATCTGTGCCCTCAGACATGATGGTTATGATCACATTCGCTGACTTTCAAACCGAATACAACTTTGATTATCTCCGTATTCACGACGGCTTCGATAGGAACAGCAGTTTTGTCACTTATACAGGAGATAACATTCCTCCACAGATTATATTTGTGTCCAATGAAATCCATATCATGTTTAATAGCGATCATAATAAGCCCAGGCGTGGCTTTAATCTCACTTACCATGCTTTTAAAAAGCCAGGTAATGTACCAGTAATGCTATGCTATTTTATAAGAATAATAATAGTTAAGTTACATTAATCTTTTATTTATAGTTTAATGACCATAAGAATTTTGTATTTTAATTAATATATTTATTAATTTTAATTTAAATTAAGGTCAAAATAAAGAGATTTACGAGGCGTTTACTGATAACCAAGATGTGACAGAATATTCTGCACGACCGTTGGCTTACATAAGCATAGCATTAAATGCAATGTTAGTAATCGTGGTCATAATCTTGGTTTATAGGTAAATTTACTATTTATTTTAGTTATTCTAGTGTTGATATTAATAAATAATTTTAATTTATTATAATTGTAATTTAGCTCAAAGGAAAAATATAACAATTTGGCCACAAATATAATTGACTCACATTGTAAAGTATTAATTAACAAATACGATAATCTCGAATGCGATGATGATGGAGATAATTGCAATAACAATAATCATCCAGGTGATATTAATGAAGAGCAATCAAACCTTGATACTGAATTGTTAGTATCATAAGATGTTTTATTTATATTTGTAATTATAAATAAGTATATTAGAATAAAATATAACAATTTTTAATTAAAGTTTATTTATAAAATTTCATCTTAACTTTTCAAAACTTTTAATATTTTTTTAAGAAGGTCTATTTTAATACTTTAATTATATGTAATAATAATTACATTCAATCAATGTAAATGGTTATTAGTTTATATTATAAATTTTATTACAATTATATTAATTACGATACAGTATATTAAATTGCCTATGATTGTTTGCTCATTTGAATTTTTTGTGCCTGTAATAAAAATTTACTAAATATTTGTTACATAAAGTAACATTTTCTAAACCTTATCCGATTGTACATTCAGTTTGCATATAAATTACTAGTTATGAAAAGAAAAACAACACAACATAACAAAAATATAACAAATGTATTAATTAAAAATTACGCAATGATAACACCTTAAACTGTAAAGCAAATTACATAAACTACAAATTACATATTGCATGAATCTGATTATAGCATTTAAAACATTTACTTTACATACAATTTGAGCTAATATTACATGGTATACTGTCATTAATGTTATAACTTATAACAATAACTACAGTAATTGCATAGGTCACTTATAAAATCACAATTAACTTAAATACAGTATTATTTAAGTATTTTTAAAGTAACGCATTCGCTTAATGTAAATATACAATATTATAAAATCAATATAGACAATATAAGGTAAAGTACAATAATTCACCGTAAAAATATTTACATTTACATATGATTTATGCACGCAATTTTTGCATTATACTGTATAAATAATACATTCAAAACATTATTTTAAAATTGATGTTGCACTGCACTTTACTACTGTACTGCACTAGGGCATATAATAAGTTATTATTATTAATAAGTTATTAATAATAACTTAAAATATATTATTGCTTTTATGAAAAAGCATTTGCATGAAATTTATAAATGCTGAATTTTTCAATAACAGTTCAATAATTTATAATAATCAATTATATTAAATGCATAATAAATATTTTGCCTGTCATTATTAATTATTTTATTGTGAATTGTAACAGGTAATATTTTATAAATTTTTATTTTATTTACCAAGAGCTGTGATTATCACCTATTGATAAAATGTCCGAAATACTCGTGGTCAATATGCGTGTGAACAATTATTTTATTAATTTTTACTTGAATAGAATCTATAACAAATTAGGCAATAGACACTCTAGGTTGTTATTTATAGTCGAATTTATTGTATATGTATGTTATATTATAAATGCCATTAAATACATGGTGTGTTTCCTAAGTGACCGACATATTAGGAAAATATTATACGACCCCTCGTTATATATGGGCGGCGTTTCCCAATACAACCAAATTATCATGATACTGTTCTCGATGTTGGGTGCTATTTGGTTCCGCAAGATACATTTAAAACCATCGAAGCGTCTGGCTACAATACTGGACCTTTTGATAACTGTCCGTGGTCATAAAGATCCCTGCGATACATTTAATAAATATAATATAGATATCGTTGATGTGATGAGTGTGGCCAAAATCAGCTATAAATTATTTGTCAATAGTTATATAGTGTTTGGTATGACCATTAACATTGTTGTATTAATTATTTAATCATTATTAATTATATTAATATTATTAATTAATATTTTTACACAGTAATTTTCTATACCAGTACCGGACTATTAACCGTGGTTAGGCATTACAATACGCGAGAATTTGTCATATCATTTATACCGATGACAATAAATTACATAACATTTTTTATACTATTATCGGACACACTGTTTATCGTATCAATAATACCTATAAAGTCATATGTTATGCAAAAAATTATTGAAAATCTGAACATTAGGGTCAATCAAATTTATAAGACCAGTAGCGTTGCGACTAGTCCTCTCTCAAGACTCGACATGTATAAAGAGATTAACAGTTTTATCGCCGATCACAACGAGATGTGCGCAAAACTGGCCAATTATAACGTATTTTGGAGTCACATGGTGTTTATTGGATTCGGGTGTCTAATGCCCATTAACCTAATGTTCACCCACCAGTTCCTGTTTGAAAGAACCCGGATTGAAATTAGATTAATGATGGGTTTGGCCCTGGTCGTTTTCCACTTCATTATATTTGTGTTCCAGTTTGTGGCCGCCTGTATGTCCACTGATATACACCGATCGGCCAAACGAGTGGCGCAACTCCAGTGGCTGGCTATGGGTTGGCCGTATCGGCTTAGGTTTAAACTAAAGATTATGGCCTATTTTGAACGCCTATCTAGTCGTAAGCGCATTGGCATTACGATCGGTCCGTTGGGTGCGTTCACTATACCATTGTTTTATAAAATAGTGGCCAAATATGTCCGATACTTGATATTGATTTATAAATTTGCTGATAAATTAAAAGAGTAATCATTTAATTTACATTACAATTATAAATATTAATAAACTACTGTTAATAAAAATTAATTCTAGATTAGTTTAATTTTATAATTGTTTTAATACAGCATTAGTCAAATCTATTAATAGTCTTATTTATTAAACAATTTTATCATTATTGCTGTCATAATGTACATAATCAACCATAGTGTTTTGTGTTTTATTTTTGATACTTTTATGCACACAATAATATGATGTCAATAAAACATTTATCATGATTGATATTACTAATGAAACAACAAGCGTGATTAATAAATATATGATCTGATTATTCCAATCATTTACATAGCTATAAATACTATCATTATTATTAGCACATGTAATGTTATCACTATTAGTACTATTAATATAATGGTCAATTTTGTGGATTAAATGCTCAAAACGTGGAGTATTATTCTTGGTAATACTGTTATTATAGCACTTCTCGATAATATTAGCATTTTCGCCCAAAATTGTAAACATGGTTACAAATTGCCAATTGGCTGTACGCCTGTCATAATTTCCAGCCCGTTTAGCGCAGTGTAATTGACCAATGTCTTTTTGTTCATGGCGCCATGGCAATGTGCCATCACCTTAATAACACAGCTTTGTAAATTAGCTAACAAACAAATCGCCATTTCTATTTAACAATGTAATTTAAATGACCTTACCGCAATTTGTTCGATAAATACGCACGTATCCAATATCGGCCGAATTAACTAGTTTAGCATCAGTATAGGTGTCATCAAAGAAGGTAATCTTATAAAGATTGGGCTTAGAATTGCCAATACGTTTAACCCGATGCCATATATCGCGGCCGATTAGTCGGCGCACACCCGACCCCTTTATGTCAATCATTTGAAAATTATTGGTGTTTATATTATAGCCGATGTAATAACCGGTCGCCTCATTGCGGATGGCGTACAGCTCTGTGTCCTTAAACGTGAGCTCCGATGAGTGAATGGAAACGCCGCCCGCGCTCTCACTCATGATATACGCCTGTATTATTAAGTACGTGGTCAGTATGAATTTGCTCACCATGGTCAGCACTTTTTCAAACTTTTCACTTAAATATGTTGAATGTCTTAAATATGACTACAATTTCTAAATTTTACACAATTAGTTCGATATGAACAATGATATGTTCAATAAGTTTAAAACAATACTATTGTCTTCCCATTCTTCTTTATTGTTGGCATTAAAAGTGATGATTGAGAGGATTAAGGTTAGGTCCGGGGAAGGGATGGGCGGATGTAATTCCAAGTTACTTTGTTATTTATCATAAAGTTTGATCAAGTTTTTCTAAGCTTTATATGCACTAAATATTTATTTTTTGCCATTTAATTAAAAGTTTTATTTGAAAAATAATTTCAATTAATTTTTATTAGTGAGTGTTTTATTGATTGCAATGAAGTTTGGGCCAAAAATAAACAATATTTATTAAACACAAATTTTTTTTAAAGTTATTTTATATAGATATCGTATTTATTATACTGTATAACAATTAAATTTATTTATTCTAAAATAAATTATAAAGATTTTATTTGAACTCAAGATAAATAATAAATTTATATATAAATATAATTTTTGCAAAATATTTATGATTTAGAATTCTGTTATTTTGTTTTGTAATTATATAAACTTATTACATAATTAATTAATTTTATTAAATAATTTTATCATTAATGCTGTCATATTGCACATTATCCACCATAGTGTTTTGGTAATTATTCTTTACACTTTTATGCACACAATAATGTGCTGTAAATAAAACATTTATTACGATTGATATTACAAATAGAACAACAAGCGTGATTAATAAATAGATGATCTGATTATTCCAGTCATAGCTATAAATACTATCATTATTATGAACACTTGTAATATTATGGTTAATTGTGTGATTGTAATACTCAAAACGGGGAGTATTGACTTTGGGAATCGGTTTAGGAGTCGGTTTGGGAGTATTAATCTTGGTAGTACTGTCATTATGGCACTTCTCAAAGCTATTAGCGTATTCGTTTAAAACAGTGAACATGGTTACAAATTGCCAATTGGCTGAGCGCCGGTCAACATTGTTAGACCATTTATTGCAGTGTAGTTGCATACGGTCATTGCGCCAGGGCAAATTATCATCACCTTAAATAACACATCAGAGTTTTAACATTGTATTAGATATTTACTAATCATTAGCATTTAAATAAACTTACCGCATGTAATTCCTTCATAAATCATAGCGTAGCCAATATCTGGCGATTGAATAATCTTAATTTTAGTATAGATTTTGTTAAAAAAGGTAATCGTGTAATGATTGGGCCATAAATATCCAACGCGTGTAATCCGATGCCATATATCGCGGCCAAGCAATCGGCGCACTCCCGACCCCTGTATGTCAACCATTGGTAAGTTTTTTGCATTCATATTATAGCTGACGTAATAACCGGTCGCCTGATTCCGGATAGCGTACAGCTCTGTCGAGTCAAACGTGAGCCCCGACGAGTGAATAGAGGCCCCACACGAGCCCTCACCGATGATATACAC